TAAGCGTTTTCATTTAACTTTAAAAGATGGTGGTATGTCAGTGTTGTGTTAACAGCTTTTTTTTTGGAACGAGGGGGGTATCCAGTGGTGTGAATCCAGTCCAGTTTTGGTTACAAGCCTAAGTGTATTTCACACAGTTAAGGCAGTCTTGAAACAAGTCAGATACAAGGAGCTTGTTTGTCGTAATGTTCACAGCCTGGATTAACACGGGTGAAAGTGAAAAGCCCATGGGCGAGACTGTCAGCTTCCTACTGTAATAGAGCTGCTTTGGAGACCATGGCTTGAATGATCGTCCCCCTCCCTCCTTTCCTTCCTCTGACACCTGGGAACTCGTGTTAGCTCCATGAGTGAACACCTTAGCCTGACCTATAAAAGGCTTTCGACAAATGTCAACGCTTAGGCTTAATGTGTCACTGCAGGTGGACATTAGGTTACAGGAGATCCCATTTCCAGCTTTTTGTGCTATATTGCCAGGTGTTGATTATATATCTCTGGATTTCCTGAAGCTTTTTAGATTACAAACATCCGTCTTTGAATTCAATTTACCCCAGAGCTTATTAACCACATTTCTCTTTGTTCTGTGGTTAGGTAGCCACTTGTTGCCAAATTGCACCACAACTTTTTCCTCTTTTGTGCTTCAAATACCTTTTTTTTCCCCCCTCCCATCCTTTTGACGACTTCTTCTGCGACATGCTAAGATCATGCTAAGATTTCCTGCGATGACGGCACCGCAAAGGTCGCTGGAGGTTAATGCACTGATACTATGTCAAGTTCCTCCTCTGGCGAGTCATTTTGCCCTCCAGATCTCCTCCCTCCCCTCTCGCTTCGCCTCAATTACCAGCAACCGAGCGGTGGATTGTGGGGAATTAGCTCTACATAGTAGCAGCGGGTGGGTGTGTGTGCGTGGGGGGATGCGGCTGGCTAACTTGACTGGACCTTTTACTAATAGGTTAGTACAAGCGCTGTGTGGACTCCACAGTCGCAGCAGTCACGGTGCCCGGCCTCCGGAATATAGACTGCCTCTTCACCGGGCGCCACATAATGCAGTCGTACAATATCAATTTACGTGTTCAACCGCCTGTAGATTATTAGGATAGTTCACTTAGAATGATGTAGTTTGGTGGGGAAGCACACCTCGGTGTTTTAACCTTGAGCGCATTGAGATGCTGTAACTACACCTTTTAACAAACAGCCAAACAAGCTCGATGAAAGCTTTTCAATTTCACTCTTTTGTTAACACGTCTCCAGCTCCGTTCCTCTTGTCGTTTACGTCCGAAACCGCGCATTGTGTTAACGGTGTCTTACTATGCGGCCGTCTTGCCTCAATTGTCTTCATCCTGAACTGCTCTATTATGTAACTTGAGTTTCCAAGGCGGGAAGTGTGCCCGAAGACCCAGTATATTTGCCACATCAGACACGTTGCCACACAAGATGTCACTTCCAATTCAATCAGCTTCTTCTCCAAATGCTTTCCTTCAACAGCCCTTCACTGGGACCTCAGCTGACCTCCAGGAGGCTCTAAGTTCAACCCTATCTGTATAAATTTAACGATTACACTCATATATTAGTCATGTGTATGTTAATTTATAATTATATAATTAGCATGATCCCCAATTCTGACATTAAAAGCATCGGCAGTGACTATAATTTCGCTGCAATGGTGACTAAAATACACACAATTTGCCACAAACATATCTTAAAATCTAAATTTATCTAAACCACATGTTGGATTATCATTCATAGAATTTTATCCTCATTAATTAGCAAGGAAATATGTTGAGTTTGCTGGCTGCCACATCTTGCAAATTGTCCTGTAAAGCCTTCCTAATCCCATCCTTGATTTTCACCAATGTGGACAAGCAAGCATTAACATTAGCCAAACCAAATGAAATCTCTTTTCCCAATCTGTCCCCGTTTATAAACCTCCTCGGTGTCCATGATGTCATCCGCTCATCTATCCTCGAAGCCTCGCCAAAATCCGCCGGCGCAATATTTGATGTGATGTGTGGTGAAAATAAGGCAGCGCTGTTTCTTATTCCGCTGTCCGTTCTCAGAGGTTTATTTCTGAGGGCTGCAAAGTCTCCGAGAGAAAATATTGAAAATCAATGAGTCCAAAAATGTCCCCGCTGACACAATTAACAGCACTGGTAAAACAAAAGAACAGCACACTCTGTTTGAGCCACCTGCAGTGAATGCACAATAAAGCGAAGCAATAACAGTTAACCTGACCACATTACACTGCTGGTAATTGTGATTACTAAGGAGAAAAGCCAGAGCGAGCAGAGGTGAGACCCGAATGCTGTGGGCTGAATTACAGAGTGTGTCCTGTGCTTCCAGGGTGCGGATCAACTGCATAACCCACAATGAAGAGCCAGTGCTGAGGGAGAGAAGCTAAACCCTGTTTATCAGAACGCTCTGGGTGTAGCAGCTTATTAAAGTGCCAGGTGCTTTTGAGAAATAATACCCCCAATACCCCCCCACCACCACCACCACCACCCAGCCACCTCCCTCTCTTTCTCCTCTCACCAGCTCCATGGCCCTCCTCCACACCTCCGGCCTAAGCTCCAGCAAGAGGTTGAGAAATGGACCCTTGGCCTGGCTTTGCCAGCGGGGCAAACTGCAGCATTTTCTGCTGCCTTCAGAAGTTCTTATTCATTTATTTATTTCTTTTCTCTTTTTTTTTTTTCTTTCTTCCTCCATATCTCCCCTGTGGCCACTGAGGTGGAAACAGCGAGGGTGATGAAATGAAATCATTTCTCTCCTTTCTTGTTCTCACTTTCCCAGCTGCCGTCACACTTCTTCTCTTGATTCTTTCCATTTCATCCCCTGTCTCTTCTGACTTTTCCCTTGATGTGGTTCCCGATCTCTTGGCCCAAAATATCAGAAGCACCATCAAACCCGTCTTGTTCAGTAAGAGGCAGTCACATACGACGGATTACACGGTACACTTCGACTGCTATTAGTCGTGGAAACTAATAACCTGATGGTACAAGAGGCACTATATATTTTATATATATATAAAGCAAATGTCTGACGCACATGCAGGAGGATGCATCTATTTATATGACAATATTTTTGATTATTTCCTCCCAAAAGGCAATATCATTTCATGTTTGTATGATGCTACTGAAGGACAATTCAATAAATATTTGTTACTGTAAGGAGCCAAAAAAACTGCGCCACTCCTGCTACACTAAATGAAAGACAATCAGAAGAAGAAAAAAAACATGGTCAGTGGTGGATTTGTTTGCCTTGAAATGTTTGTTTGAGCTTTTACTCTTAGATGTACTCCGTCTCATAACTGGGCTAATAACTATGAGCTATAAAACTGTGCCTAAAATTCCCAGAGTGTCACACTGTGTACTATTGCAGAGACTTTCTGGCTCTTCTCTGATTGTCAGTGAAGCAAATATAAACATTTTTAATATTCCAAAAATATTTGCTCTGTATACACCCGAACCAACTGTGTTAACCTAATAAAATATGTTAAATGTGTTCTAGCCTTGAGCTTTCACTCATTTCAAACTGTCTGAAATCATTCCCTATTTATTAAATAGTGCTCTACACTTTACCCATTGCTATTTTATTTGAGTGCCTGAATGGGAAATTTATGCATGATATAGTGCCCTCAAAAAAAGTCAGGGGCATGTACTTTTCTGCTTACAGTCCTATTAATTTCCACTATAATAGTAGTGAATATTGTACTTGTGAGCGATGATGTAAAACAATGAGTCACAGAGTTAAAGGTTGGGTGTCTTTTATATAAAGAGTCATTTCAGACGCAGAAAATGTGTCATCTTGAACAAAATGCCATTTAAAAAAAAAGAAAAAAAAATAGCTCTGACTATTATATGCAAACATTTGTGTCCAAGACGACAGAATAATGTGTTTTCTCCTCTTTAGGCTTCTGTCTATGTGTTTTACCTGTTAGTAATGTCTGATAAACTGCATAACCTTCAATTCCCAGAAATGCAAAATCCTATTAGCATACAGATTTGCTGATTGGAAAAAAAGATTAAATATACCGTTAATGCATTTTAATTTCCGTGACTGTTGGCTGCTGCATTTTATAACAAACAGGTGCAAACTGCATCTGGGTCAAAAAGCTTAGTTTGCATGTACGGCCAACCTGTCTCGCTTTGTCGTGTCCTTCTGCTTGCCCGTTTACTTGTTGCCATAGTGAGTGACATATTCCAGTGTCTTTAAGCGGCTTGCCCGAAAGGCTAATGCTTAAGCCCTAGGATGTCTGCCATTTAAGAATCTTAATAAAGCCGCCTTTTTAACCAATAATAGACTCACACTCCTAACATCACGACTGAATGCCATATTGTAGGGGCACATGTGGTACGTCCCCAGAATGAAGTCTAGAAGGTCAAGCAGATAGAAATCCATTGTTCTATTTCTTGAAGGGGGCGTGTATAAATGTCAACATGCATCAGTGTGCCTATAACAAATGTCAATATGCCCAAATCCTTCTCTTATGACATTCCCTGACCACCTCCTCTGCCGTGTAATACTCACACTGCTTCTCTCTGTCTTGTTTGTCTCACACAGGTAGGAATGGACTGGGCTGTGGACTCTGGAAGCTAGTGAAGACAATCAATGAGGACACTCTACATTAAAGACAGACTTTTCATGGATACCTATAATCGTGCTTAATATAAATCCTTCGAGGTGTAACACTGGTCCATCCTTTTTTTTTCCTTTTTTCGCCTCCTTCCACCTTTTTTGACTGCGACCTTGGCCCCAAACCCTGACACCAGCAGGCAACATTGAGTGATTGGTCGTTACATTCAAGGGCGTCCACACAGCAAGACACAAAAAAACCCAAGGGAGCCCTGTGGTGGTGGTGGCGGCAGGGGCGGCGGTGGTGGTGGTGGCAGGGGCGGTGAGTCAGTCGCCTCAGCAGCTGCAGCAAATGATTCATTATTTGTGAAGTTAACAGCTCTGACCGCTTAATCTACAAGGACCAATTTCTTACTGGAGGGAATCGGTCCAATATGAAGGACGTATCATTTGTGGATCGTCTCTTTGTCGGCTTGGCCATGGCCTCTTTTGTCGTGGCCACTGAGGTGAGGCCAGACTGCCCAAAGCTCTGCGTATGTGAGATTAGACCCTGGTTTTCCCCCAGTTCTGTGTACATGGAGGCGCAGACAGTTGACTGTAATGACCTGGGACTCTTTAGCCTGCCTGAAAAATTACCAGTGGGCACGCAAGTGCTATTACTGCAAACAAACAATGTCGCCAAAATTGACAAACCCTTGGATTATCTGGCCAATATCACAGAGATTGATTTATCGCAGAACAACTTATCCTCCATCAGCGACATCCATCTGGGGAACCTTCCCCAGCTGCTGTCCCTTCATTTGGAGGAGAACTGGATACGAGAGCTACCTGAACGGTGTCTGTCGGAGGTGGCTAACCTTCAGGAGCTCTACATGAATCACAATCTCATCTCATCAATTTCCCCGCTGGCCTTCCAGGGTCTCACCAGCCTTGTGCGGCTCCACCTCAATTCTAACAAGCTGAAGGTTATTAAGAGGGAGTGGTTCGATCCCATGCCAAACCTGGAGATCCTAATGATTGGTGAAAATCCAGTTCTGTCCATCGATGATATGAACTTTAAACCTCTCAGTAACCTTCGCAGTCTTGTTCTTACCAGAATGAACCTGTCTCAGCTTCCTGACGACGCACTGTCCGGTCTTGACAACTTGGAGAGCATCTCTTTCTACGATAACATCTTCCCTGAGGTGCCTCATTCTGCCCTGAGAAATGTCAAAAATCTCAAGTTTTTGGATCTAAATAAAAACCCAATTGCGAGGATACAGAGAGGGGACTTTGTGGATATGCTCCATCTGAAAGAACTGGGGATTAATAGCATGCCAGAGCTAGTTTCCATCGACAGCTTTGCCCTTAATAACCTCCCTGAGCTCACCAAAATAGAAGCCACCAATAACCCTAAACTCTCCTATATCCATCCTAATGCTTTCTACAAACTGCCGCGGCTGGAAACCCTCATGCTAAATGGCAATGCTCTCAGTGCCCTCCACAGGATTACCGTTGAATCTCTCCCAAATCTCAGAGAGGTTAGCATGCACAGCAACCCCATCCGCTGTGACTGTGTGGTCCGCTGGATGAACATGAACAAGACCAACATCCGCTTCATGGAGCCTGACTCGCTGTACTGCGTAGAGCCTCCGGAGTACGAGGGCCAGCACGTCCGACAGGTGCACTTCAGGGAGATGATGGAGATTTGTCTGCCGCTGATATCTCCCGAAAGCATGCCGGGGCATATTAAAGCACAGAATGGGAGCTCCTTGTCACTCCATTGTCGCGCCTTTGCTGAACCAGAGCCGGACATCTACTGGATCACTCCATCTGGCACCAGGGTCTTGCCAAACACCGTGTCCGACAAGTTCTACATGCACCCGGAGGGAACATTTGACATCTACGACATAACAGAAAATGAAGCCGGTCTTTACACCTGTGTTGCCCATAATCTGGTCGGCGCTGATCTTAAATCTGTTTCAGTAGAGGTGAATGGATATTTTCCCCAACCTACAAACGGGTCTCTGAATGTTGTCGTCAAATCAGTGGAGAGTCACTCGATTCTGGTTTCCTGGAAGGCTGGCCCTGGCACTTTGGCCCCCAACATTAAATGGTACACCGCGTCAGATGCCAACCATCCCACCACGGCGTTCACCACCAGGGTTCTCTCCGATGTCCAGGTCTACAACCTCACCCATCTCAGCCCCGCCACTCAGTACAAAGTATGTGTGGATATCCGCAGCATCCACTACAACCATGACACCAAATGCGTCAATGTCACCACTAAGGGATTAGAGCTGGCAGCCAAGGACACAGAAAAATGGGATGCGGCAGTAATCACTGTCTTTGGTGTGCTCTTGGCTGTGATTTCAGTGGCCTGCCTGCTTATTTATGTGTCTCTGAGGAACCACCACCTTTATGGGGATATAAGGAAATGCGACTCCAAAGCTTCGCTGACACCAGTGGAAGCTACCGGTATGCACTCTTCTTTCTTTACAAAGCTGTGGGTTTCGGGTAAGGGACTGCCGAGCGGAGTCGAAGTGAGAGCCACAGTCATAAATGTATCTGACAATGCATTTTAAGAAGCGCAGCTTTGTAGAGCACCACACACCAACTACAGTGAATGGACAAGGCCATGGGCAGGGGCGGACGATGTTGCACTGTTTCAAAGGCATACGCATTCCTGGCCCCCAGCTCAGATACACTGGCAACACTATTTTTGGACTGGGAACAGTTTAAAATAGACTACATGCTATCCCAGTTTCAACCCTAGTTGAAGTGGTTGCTTTGTAACCGTTCCATCAAACCAAGCTAACATCAACAGGAAGGGGTATTTACTGCAAAAAGATATATTTCAGTACCATTCATACAGAAATGCAGGCAGAGAAAAGAAAGTGAAGATAAAGATGCTGATGGTCAACTCTCTTGTAATTGACTGTTAAATGTGTTCAGAGTTGTGGAACTGTCTGTGTGGTCCCAAGCAATACCGTCTGTGCTTTGTCAAACATCCATAGACGAGTTAGAGATACAGTAATAACACCTGTCTATTATGGGAAGGGAGATTTAGTAGAGTAGACAAATAACAGTGACTATGGTGTAAGCCTTTTGATGAAATATACCCCCTTTTTCTATTTAAAAATGGATTCTTGATTTTTCATGGAAATATTGTTATATATTCTATTATGTTGATGTAATGACAAATCCTCTGTATGTGAACAGTTTAAATGGATTTTAAATTAAGGCAAGGAGCAGACTACTTTTGATTACAACGTCACATTAAGCTTAATGAAATTCAGCAACAAAATGGGTACCCAGAGAGGATGTTTGCCAAATGGCTGTTTATGCTTTGTAGTTCTCATTGCAACGGTGACTGGGAAATAATGCGGACACATTGGACTAAAGCAAACACGGTTGATTAAAACTGAGGTGAGTGATGTGTTATCTCCTCAAGAGGTGGTTTGTTATGCCCTGGTAAGTGCCTACAACAAGAACTACATGAGGTAAACAGAAAAGAAACTGAAGAACTCCGTCAGCCACAGCAGAACATCGTCATGTCATCATTGCAGAATCACAAGCTATTCTCCAGTACTTTTAGTGGAAATACTTTCTCAGTATTTTTAGCATACATATTTTAAGGAAAACATTTCGTTGTTGCTTTGGGTGTAAAGTTAAAAAGCCATTTTTATATTAACTGTATTATATGTGATCAATGGGCACAACAGACTAATTAAGAAAAGCGCTGAGAAAAAAATAAATGTCATTGTTTCTTTTACAAACAATTGCCTACTTTCTCTCTTTTGTTTTCTTCTCATGTTTGCCATACATAATGACCTTTTGCCATCATCTCGTGAAATGTGTCATGACTTTTATGTGACATTTCGAGAATGTGAAACGAAATATTGATAAGTGGTACAGAACAAAAGAAAAACCCTCCTCTGAGGCAGACCACAGGGGTGAAGTCGAGGGACTACAGCTGAATGGTTGAATGGTCGTCCTAACCCTGGGAAGAAGGGAGAGGAAAAAAAATAAAAAACAGCAACAAAAGAACAGAACTCATTAGCCGCCTCATTAAGAACATGTTCGTCCTTCAGCTGGTCTGAATATAGTCACTGTGCTACAGCTGCTACTGTTCGTGCTCAGACGGGGACACAACGTCCCTGCAACACAGAGATGGAGTACAGTACAGGAAAGTCATGCGGGCTGCTGGGATAGAGCCGAGCCCGAGCTTCGGGACTCGCATTTTATTTGCCTTACTGAATTATCCAGCATTTCACATGAGAAAGCCGAGCATGATGAATAGTTGTCAGAGGCGGAGTGACATGGCGGATTTATCAAACGGGGCCTAACACTCATACATCAGGCCAGCCTTCAGCACCACGGACAGAGGCTTTTAGAGCCGAGCCATCTGTCAAAGACAAAGGGAGTTAAAATATGACACGCCGTGCTCCTCAGGTAACGCTCGGGTCGCACCCAGTCTGTCGCTTTGCAAATATAGGCTCAAATACAGATGCGAGAAACAAGCCCGGGCAGAGCTGAGAACCCACACAGCCCGTGTTCTTGTACAGAAAAACGTGCAGAGAGACAAAAATTCAAGGTCACTCATCGACACAAAGAGACTCGCGGGAGACTCTAGAAGACAGCACATTAACGCACACGCCGAATCAACCGAGGTTTCGTACGGCTTCAGTCGTGCTGCGAGGAACGCAACATGACAGCAAAAGAAGCCCCTAAATGAGTTCACCGAGCAAACATGTTCCCAGAGATTAAAGCAGCTCATGGATATTAGCCATATTGTTCTTGTTTTTTTTTTATTCTTATTATTTTTCACACAACTCATGATTTGATTACATACTCGAGTGAATAAGCTGAATGTTATCCGCAAACTCATCTCTCCTGCTGTCTGTCTCAATCTCATGCATTTCCACGATCGCTTTGTTTTCTCTTGCTCTCCTCCAGCCGTTGACACCTCCCTCCCCACCACTACCACTGACAGAAATATGAGTTCGAAAGATAGCTCCTTTTTTTTTTGTGTTGTCTGAATTTGTACATTCAAAGCAACCTATATTAGAAAAAAAAGAAGAAGAAGAAAAAAACCCCTCTGGATTTAACTTAAATCCCACATGAAAAGAACCAGTGAGCTGTCACCATTTAATCCGCAGTGAGGAAGGAGAAATTATGTTTCTCGCTGAATCTTCAAATATTTCAAATATTAAAACCACCTTGTTCTATTCAAAAAAAAAAAAAAAAAGCCATCTGCACTGAGGCAGATATTAAAGCATTCTCTGTGAAGGCTTATAGATGGGTTGTTCCTACTGGTTACATATTCATTTTAATTTCGCGAGGATCATTGTCGGGCGGCCTGAGATTTGATGGTGCAATCCACCGGTGGGAGGTGCAAGTTCAATAGCGTCTTTATTTATTTCATTTTTAACACAAGGCAACCATTAAGTCAGTGGCTGGCAGGTAATTTTCCTTTTTACGTGATTAGACGAAATACATGTAAAAAAAAAAAAAGTATGGAGTGCAGGAAACGTGAATTTGTGAGCCTGTTTAAATTTTATAGAATTATTCAGTTGATTCAGACCTGCTGCTGCAACAGTGTGCATACAGGAACGCTGGGCTACAATCAATTTCCCTCGAGCGTGTAGGAAGGTGCTATTTAAACACTTTGTCTTGAGCAGTTCTCCAAACAGCTCATATTTATACTAGTTTTATTCAGAAAACAGCCTGAATAAATGTTTTTTTTTTTTCTTTTTCGAACGCTGCAATGAAATATTTAATTTCTCCTCTATCTGAGATAAGATAAAAAATAAAAAAAAAACACTGCAAGGGCTGCAGAAAGCAAACAACGTTCACGCTGCTAACGGCACTTTTATATGTTTGAATTATCAGCTTATTAAAGTTACAAACTTCCACATAGGTCAGCCAGTGTAGCTACAGGCAGCCACGTTCCAATGAAAAGTGAAATGTCAACATGCATTTACAATCCTGCTGCTAACACTATATTTAATACCCCCTGCCTGCTTTTAAGAGGCCTTTATAGGCTGCTGTTGGAGAAACAACCGCGTGACCTATGGATTGCAATAACAAAGCGCTGATTGCTTCCATGACAGAATGAAAACGCCTTCGGAGTCACGTGCGAGTCGTGCATTAGGATTTTTGACCCCTCTATTAATTAAACATTGGTTTTGCAGCGGCGGCAGCGTAAACTGTTTCATGTCTCGCAGTCTTTTTCATGTGTTTACACCCAAGTTGATGCTAATGCCAGTGACAGGTGGATTTTTCATACACACCATGTATCTTCGGTGAGCCAGAATTTGTCCACTGCAGCGCTATCGTGAACACGGCGATGCTGTGTATTTCCTGAAAAGTAGAGACAGAACGTCGCGTCGGATTTGCCACGACTCGTCAAAGAGCGAGCAGTCAAAAGACATTTGTGTGTGCGCATTTCTGCTCTGGTTGGCCTCTACTTGTCTGCATTGCTATAACCGTCGCTCCCAGCATGTCCCAGCTTAAAAAAACATTCTCCCAGCCTCTGCATTGCAATTATAGCCACATATCTTCATACAAATTAATTAGCATGCAGGCAAAATGCCCAACAAAAACACAGCTGCTGTAAGTCATTTCCATTTCAGATAGGGTCCTTTGACATGTTTTCTGATTCACCACTCGCAAGACACCGCTGAAATCTCACATGTGAGGAAGAAGCCGGTTGAGTCGGAGGTTTCTCGATGTAAGTAACCCGTCATATTGATAAATACGCACCCATAAGTCTTGCTGAGGCCGCTGTAGAAAATCAACCTGGATTGAATGTTGGAATGATATGACTCTACGGAGAGCTTTTTCACTAATTGGAAGACCCATTCTCAAACTGATGATTGGTTTCCTGGGCTGCTGATTGATTGCTGCTTCCTTTTGTCTCACCGCTGTTTCCTCTATGAAGTGGGCATGCAGCCTGCGCCTGAGTCGGATCGATGCGGGGACTAATGAGTTATTCACATGCATGCTCACATTAATGATGGATTGGAATTGAGGGGAGGAGGGAAAAAAAAAAAAAGAAGAAGAAATCACGTTCCTAACAAGCAAACATGTAAGGACGTGAAGGAACACCCTGTTTTTTGTTTTTTTTTTAATCTTAGGTGGGTTTTTAAAGCATTGTCGCCTAATGGCACAGATGCACCGTCGCTCCCATCAGATTCATTAGCGCTGCTGAGGACATCGATATTCATGGTAGCCCACATTAATCACCACCGAGCATTAAAGTCCCGTTGTGAAATGGTGGAGGAGCCACCTACAGTTATAGTCCCTGTGTAAGTACAACCTTGTTTTTTTTTTTTTTTTTCTTTTTACTGCGGCCATGTTTACGTAATGCTTCACCCAGATCCATCTGTACAAAGACCGGCTGCAGATTTTGCTCTCCATTAGGCAGATGGAAGGTTTGAAGAAGAGTTAGGTAATAGTTGTTCACGCCGGTTACAACAAAGCCTCGAAGGCGGATCAGACCGGCTCTCCTCATCTCACCTACAGGATACCTATAGAAATAATATTTGCAAAAGCATGCGTAAATGCAAATTTGCTCTCT